CAGGAATGCTCACTTCAGGAGACCAAGCTCCACCACGTGTGGGCAAACACCACCAACGGGTTCTGGAACCCAAGCATCAGCTGATGGAGGCAGAGGGGACATGGGCTCTGGATCCTTAAGTCTGTGGCCTTTGGGACAGGGATGCGAGGGACCCTGTGCCAACCTGGTGGGGGCAGGGAGACCATCCTTCTCCAGAGAGGCTTACCTCTCCCCACAAGGACGCAGGAGGGACCTCTCACAAGAAGCTGGTCACAGCGGGGCTGTGCTCGGCGCCATCTCCACGACCAGGCTGGGCTACACCGCCTGGTTGTGGAGATGGCGCCCATTCAGTTGTCTCTTCCGAGGCCCTCATCTTCCGTGGCAGCTCATCTTGTCTAGCACGTCACAGGATCTCAAGAGTCAACGGGCCTGAGGGTTTTCCTGATCCAGTCACATCCCACTCAGTGCTCACCTGGCCTCAGCTGCACCCCAGTGATGGGGAGGTCACTGTGACCTGTGGTGGCCCTTTTAGAGAAGTCTTTCTTCTACTCAACTAAAACCTGTCTACTTGTGGCTGTGATCCACTTGTCTTAATCGCCCCTCAGAGCCATGGAAGACACGTGGTAACATTTTAGAGCTTTATAGACTGTCTCTATGCCTTGCCTGCATTGCCCCTTCCTCCTTCAACCGACCACACTGTAGCTGTGCTGCCTGCTGCTGTGTTTCTTGTTTCTGCCCAGTCTGCTTTCCATTAGGGAATCCCCCACCCTTCACTCCACAGGGAGGCTCAGCTGGGATGAAGCCAACCTGAGTGTGCAAGTGGCCACGTCTCTTCCCTGGCCATGTGGAAAGTAGAACAGTTGGTGGCATGGCCTGAGCTCCTGGAACACAAGCCCTGGCTACGTGAACCAGTATATTCCCCTTGTGGCTCAGCAGGCTGATTTGGGTTTCGGATACCTGCCAACAAAAGCATCCCGCCTAATACACTCCTCAGCCACAGTTCTTGCAGCCCCTCATCACTTCTCCTTTGATTCCAGCCCTTCCCTCGTCTGGATCCTGAAGTGAAACATCCATCTGGGAACTCTACACCCCAGCTGGGTCTGAGCAGAGCAGACCCACTGCCTCCCTGATTTGGAGGGAGGCCTGTCTCTTGGAGGGAGGCCAAGGTGATGTCAGCCTTCCTGAACGATGACTCACACACAACACAAACTCCAGCATTTTTTCCCACCCATGTTGCTGGTAAGCCAAGTGTGTCTCACCTGCTGGTGCTGTTATTGGGGGACTGGCTCTCTGAGAGGAGCTTAGCAACTGAAGTAGCAGCTATAAGACCATGGAAATTCTGGTATCAACACAGCTGTTTTTCAAGATAAACAGTGACAACTTCCGATCACTAGTTAACGTTTTGGTCACGTACGGCTCCTAGCTGGTGAAACACCCCAAGGATGCAACCTTGTCTCTATCACAGCATAAATATTTCCTGGCAGAAGGACCCCAGTTCAGCTCCACAAAAAACTTAATACCTTTGGGTCCACAGTAGTAGAAGCAGCATTGTAAAGAGCGGCTGGGAGGCAGGGTGACTAACAGCACCAGTGCTGCTCCCAAGTCCTGACTCCCCCGTAACTACTAACATGCCCTTGGGAGAGTCATTTACTTCTTTGAGCCTCAGTCAGTGAAAAAAAGATAACACCACCTCCCTTATAGGGCTACTGCCGCAGGTACATAATTTAACAGAAGTAAAACATGGTGACTGACACACATTTTACCCTCTATTGTTACTCCGCTTGTGTTGGCAGTCAGGACACAGACTCCTGGCTCTACTCTGCTATCCTATGCCTCAGTTTTTCTCTCTCTCTCTAAATCCCTTTTATTGAGCTCAAGTTCTGTAATCTTTAAATAAAACCAACCTGAGCTGGATCTTCTCTCCGGGACCAACTGTGAGGTCGGCTATCTCACACAAACAGGAATCAGAAGACAGCTATTTCCTGTTACTCTGGCTCAGGCACTTTACGAAGTTCCCTCGCGCCTGCACCAAGCACGCTGAAGAGTGTTCTGTGGCACACCTGTGCTGCTGTGAGCCACGCCTCTCCCCCCAGGCCTAGGCACATCGTGGACGCTCTACAAATACTTCTGTGTCACCTGCACGGCCCCGGGCATGGTGAGGCCAGGGAACAGGGACATGGTGCTACACAGGGCAGGTGGAGGCCGGGGGCTGCTCCAGGTCAGATGGGGGAGGTGGGCATGGTGGAAGGACCTACCCAGGTTCAGAGTGCAGGAGGGAGGGCTGGGCTGCACATCTGGCCCACACCACCACGTCTGGGCACTGAGGCCTGACTACCATACTCGCTCACTCATGCTCTACGTGACCTGAATACCACGTAAGCTAGAAAACGTCCTGGTTTTGAGAGAACCCTCCTTGTTTTGCTCATGTCTGAAAGCCAAGCCTGACTTTTCTTCACTGCACCTTCCTTCCTAAAGCCTAGAAAGACTCCGGAACCTGGACAATCTGTCCCCACTTTTCCAGCCACACCACCCTCACCCTGGCTCCCACAGTTCCCTTCCCTCTAACGTCAACCAACCTAAACCCTTGGCTCTTCACGGCTCTGGACACACACCACCTCCTCCAGAAGCCTTCCCAGCACTGCAGCCACAGTCATCCTCACTATCTCAGCTCTGAGCACTGGGCCAGACAAATCTTTATACGCTCATTGCAAAAAAGTCTGTGTTATTTCAGGACGCTTTCTTTCCCTGACCCAGAGCATCTGGAAGTTTCTCAAGGCCAGAGAGCCTCGATTTTTCTCTTCCATCCCCCCTAGCTTCTCCAGAGCTGGATACAGCACAAGTGCTCATTACCAGATACATTAAGTTAACTGAGGCATTCCTTATCAAAGGTGTTGATCTTGCCTCAGAGTGGGGAGGCCCCTCCTCTGCTGCCTTAGGACCTAATGTTCATACCCCTGCTTATACAAGGCTGGATGACAATCCCCAAGTTAAAAATATCTCAAGCCAGGTACACTGGGGACCGAGGGAGTCATGCCCCCCGCCGCAGTCACCTGGGTGTCCGCCGGCAGGGCCCTCTGCCCGCCCTCTCACACCCGCAGTTAATTAAAGGTCACATTCCTTCAGTCTAAGTCATGGCTCAGGCATAAGAAGTGTTTTTCACAGTGGGAGCTTTCAGAGAGCTGTGGGAACAGAACAATAGCAGCTCTCTTCCAGGCAGAATGCCTCTCGCTTCTCTAGCAGCTTTCCCAGCTCTGTCTGTGCTATGGAGGCCGATTTAGAGCCTGAACGTCATCACCTACAGGGTGAGGCCCGACGTTCATCTCCTAAACACGGATGGGAGGGATGGGAGACTCCGGTACCCCTCAGAGCCACATGATTCCATGTGGCACTTGCTCCCCCCACTACAAAACCAGACAATCCACCAAACTGCTTGTGCCTGAAAACACACATCAGTGGCACCCTGTGAACCAAACCCATCCCCGCCCCACTGGAGGCTCTGAAGAAGCAACTGGTTATTATTTGGAGGAACCTTGTGGTTCTAACCAAGGACAGGAAGAAAGCAAGATCTCGCGCCCTCATTCTGTAAGCCAGAGACCTTACAGCAGAATTCACAAGAAACTGAGAAGAGCCCAGAGTCTGGGCTACAAGAAGTAAGACTCTTCTAAAAGGTACAAACTTCCAGTTATAAAATAAATAAATCATGAGGATGTAATGTACAGCATAGTGACTATAGTTAACAATACTGTATTGCATATTTGAATGCTGCTAAGAGAGCAGATCTTAAAAGTTCTCATCATAAGGAAAAAAAAAATTCGTAACCAAGAATGGTGATGGATGTTGATTAGATTAGTGATCATTTCGCAATATATACAAATATCATTATGTTGTACACCTGGAACTAATACAATGTTATATGTCAATTATATTCAATTTAAAAATGAAATTTCCAAAAGTCACAGCAACCAAAGAAAAAAATCAAAAACCCCAAAACAAAAAAATCCCCCTTCTGATTCAGACAGGAGACGTCTTCATTTGAAACCCAGATTCGTAAGACCTGCAAGGCCTTTGGCTTTGGCGCTGGTCTCCAATGAGGCTGACACTCTCAGAAAGGTAAGTGTCCCAGGAAAGCAAGACCCCTGAGGCCACTCACCTTTAGGTCCAGGTACTCCAGGTCTTTCTTCAGCTGGAGGTAGGTATCGTCAGCCTTCAAATGAAGCAGAGAGAGAAAAAAGCCAGTTATGAACACCAAAGGTGTCCACAACTCAGGGCTTCACATGTGACTCATTTACACCTGTGCAGCTTCGGAGACAAGAGACCACAGCAGACCAACACATCCAGGCCACAGAGGAAGCACAAATGTCTCGGTGCAGCTCAGAGCTCTCTCAGCATGGTGGATCTCACAGGTCTACCATGTGGGGAAAGCCAGCTTGTTCCCACCATTGGCTGGGGACAGTTTGATGAGGAGGAGGGAGAAAGCACACATCCCACCAGAGGACCAGGCCAGCAGAGCAGCTGAGGCAGAGGCGAGCTCCTGAGACAGAACTAGAGAGGTCTACCTGGAAGAGGACATGCCACGCTCCAAACCTTTGCACTGGGCCACTTCACATGCATGAAGGAAAATGACCCCCTGATGGGTGCGGATGGATGCCTGGAAGAGGCATGGAGATGACCTAGGTGACCCAGGGAGGTTCCCTTCTGACCTTGGGTTCTAGAACGATAAGCACCAGTAGCTGCAGAAAGTTTCCTGGAAGTTTTGGCTCCGTTTGCTGAGCATGGAGCCAAGGTAGCTGGGTCAGGAGCTAGATAAGGAAGGTCCAGGCAGACCTGTCTGCTTGTGTCATCTCTGACAGCCTTGTTGAGTTCTTCAGTATAATTACCAGAAACGGTGAGAATAAGGAAAAGACTCTTTGATTTCCTAGAACTTGTGCTTCCTATGTAATGGATCACAGAAGCTAACTGTGAGGGAGAGGGGCTACGAAAGCTTAAGAAAAACAGTCCAGGCACTTTCTCAGCCAACTAAGAGGCCTCTCAGCAAGCCAGAGCAAGCCAGGGCTAGGAAGGTGGTCCGAGTTTAGAGCTCTGATGTAAAACAACAAAAATAAATAATGCAAAACGTTCAGGCAGTGCTTTTAAGCATGAGAAGGCCTGAAGGACCACTGCCAGGGACACCAGTGGTTTGCAAGATCTAATTTCTGTCCCTGAACTGTCTCCTTACCCATCCCTACTTCCTCAATCAGCCCAGTCCCGCAGTGAGAGGGACAGAGCAATGTTATTAAAAGTCACCCGAATTCACAAATTAGGATTTTTGCACGTGCTCCCTTATATTCATTTTTCCAAATACATTTCCTGTATCTCTCAGGTCCCACTAAAATAGGACAGGGAAGGATAGTGACAATTCCCTCAACCTCCTCATCTGTCCTCTGCTTACTTCTGTGCAGCTTGAGGGACCAGGCTCGTGTGGACCAGCATCTTCTTTAAGATGCTCGGGATGCCCAGGAGAACGACTGTCTGGCTACTCCTCGAGGAGCTTGCCTGCAACCCCTCATGTCTTGGAAACAGTTTAGAACACTGTGCCAGACAGGACCTGGAATCTGGCTCCAGCCTGCAGGCCACTAGCTGAGGGATCCTGGGCAAGTCACTTTCCCACCTGTCCTACCTAACCTCTCCCAGGCTACTGTGAAATTCACTGGGATAAGGGGTGTGAAGATGCTCTGACAGTCAGCAGGGCACTGTCCAGATGAGAGGGCACCATGCCTTCTCCCTCCAGGCTGACACACACCTCTCAGCATCCCAAGGAGTACCCAAGGTGGCAACAAGGATGACAGCTAGCACAGCCCTTGGACATGACCACACACCAGCCTGGCAGTCATTACTCACAGGCAGAGAAGCCACAGTTCAGGTCCCTCACACCACATGCAGCCTCCTCCCCAGCAACAGGGGCGTGGGCCCCATGATGGCTGCACAGTGTCTGGCAGCAGCATCCAGAAGCAAACAGGCAGGAACAAGGGAGAGAGCCAGATAGCAGGACAGACTAGAGCACGGGCATGAGGGAGCACAGGCCAGCATGTCACTCCCCTGTCCCCGGGGTGGCCCCCAGCCCTGAGAGAGCCCACCAGCGCTGACCTGGCAGGTGGGAAAGGTCAGCTCGTGCTGCAGTAACTGGCTGATGGCGAAATTTCGCACCCTGGCCAACTTGGCCTGGTGCCGCCGTAACCGGGTGAGAAGCAGTGAGAGCTCCTCCAGCTGCAGGTGTGTAGACACATCATGAGGAAATTAGCCACCGCAGGAGCACGACGCTATAATTACTCTTCACCCCAGTGCCGGCACAGCATTGATGTGACACCATTAAGTAATTATTGCATTAATTCTGTCATTAGGACAAGTAAAGGCACCGGCAGAAAAGGGGCTGCAGGAAGTAGTTTTTATCAGGAAACAGCCACCAGCAGTGCAACCTCACCCAGACGTGAGCTTTGAAGACAGTGAACTAATCAAAGCAAAGACCAGGAAGAAAGGAGAGGAGCTAACCGGAGAAAAAGGCAGGTGGCTGGAAAATGCTGCAGACAAAATGCTGCCCAAAGGGGAACAAACACCACAGTCTCCTCCACTTCCCCCGCCCCCGCCCTACCCGGCTCTTCTGCTGACCTCAGGAGGTCCCAATGCCAGCGGGATGGGCCTGAGCAAGTCATTCGACCTCTCTGAGTCTCAGTTTCCTCATCTCTAAAATGGGGATTGCATCTGACTGGCTCAGGGGATAACTCTGATGAGATCAGCCCTTTGAAAGCTGGATAAGATCAGTCGCCTGGAGGGGGAGAGGAGGTGCTGCTTACCGATTTTCCATGTAAACTGGGAGCACTGACAGTGTGGGTCATGTAACCCATGGAGGGCATGGAGCGCCGGTCCACATGAGAGGAGTTCTGCAGGAGGGGAGACATGAAGTCACACCGAGAGCCGGGCGTGGAGGGGGGCGGGGGCCAGAGCCTCTGCCACTCACTACCAGGGCAGCCAAGCACATGGCATGGCACCTCTCTCAGCCTCAGACTCTTCATCTGTCAAATTGGGATACACGTCTTTCTCGCCAGGTTATGACAATGACAAACTGTGAGAGCCCCTCCATATTTAAAACTTAAGTCAGGTTATTATAAATAACTGAACTAGTTAAACACAGACATCTCTCCCTGCCTTCCAAGCTGCAAGGAAGCAGACTTCTAGTTGTGTGACCGTGTGCAAGTAACTTCATCCCTTAATGCCTAAGAGTTCTCACTTGTGAAATGGGCACACGGGTATCCCCTGCTTTACAGAAGTTCGCTTTATGCCACTTTGATTTTACAAAAGACCTACCTTTAGCACCTGATAACCGAAATCCAAAGGGGATTTTCACTTTCACAGAAAATGGAATTGCTTCTTCGCTTTACGCCACTTTGGCTTACTAAAGGTTTCATAGGAACACTCTACCTTCAGATAGCGGGGAAAACCTGAAATAATAGCACCTACCTCATAGGGCTGTTGTAAGAATTAAAGCCTTTTAAAGTACAGTACCATGTAAGTGTTACCTATCATTATCCTACATTGCTCAAGTTTGTGTTCAAACCATGTGAGGCTCCTAACGCCCTAATGCTGGGCCCCAGCAGCCTGGCAGGGCATCCGGAGTCTCACCTTGGTGGTGTGGCCCCATGCCTTCCTAGGAGAACCGCTCAGCGAGATGTCCACACTCCTTCTCCGGTCCGGTGGCTTCACAGTGACCCTCTCTGCTGGCGTATGTGGCCGCCGGGGTGGGAAGGCCCTCAGGGGTCCCAGGGGAGGGATGTCCGAGGGAGATGGAGGCACAGAGATGGAGCGGGGCACCTCTAGCATGCTCCTGCTTCGGCCCTGGTCGGTGAACTCTGGGGAACCGGCACAGATGGGCGCCGTGGGGCTGCCGTGCCGGAACTGCTGCCGCTGCTGCCACTCGTAGAGCTGCCACACGGTGCCGTCCCGGTGTGCCCGGCGCTCCTCACTCGACATCTTCAGGTGGCTGGCTCGGTCCTGCGCGTACTTGTAGTCACTCGGCAGGTTGCGGGGAGGGGGTGAAGAGCCCCCTGAGGGGTGTCGGCTGCTCCTGGGAAGAGTCTGGTAGTTTTCTGGGAAGGACAGGGATTGGCTGGGACCCTGGCAAGGAAGGGTCTGGTCCAGGACCAGGCTGAGGAGAAAGGAGAGGACAGGTAAGAGGATAAGCAAGGGGTCTGCTGGGCTTCTGGAAACACAGCTAGGCAAAGCCACAAAGCCAGGCACGTGAGGGAGCCCTGTATGAACCCCAAAGAACAATCAACGGAGACACCCAGGACTTCAGTCACTTCTTCCCTTTGCAGAGGATTCCTAAACCACTTTATCCATTAACCTTGGAGTGTCAACCACCCTACCAGGCCGACTTGGCTGCCCCACTTCAAGTGCAGCATGATTAAACCTGCCTCTCTCTCTTGCCATCAGTCAGCTTTTCCATCAGGTGTGCATATCTCTAGGAGATGCCTCACGATTCTCCCGGTCACCAAGATGTTCCCCAGCACCAAAACCTGGAGGTTCTTAAAGGAAGTGGCTGGCATCAGTTCCTTTCTT